GGAGGGGAGGGAGTCGTTGCATGTGAGGGATCTGTGGTACTGCGCCAGAAACTCTATTTGAAAGTGGAAAATGTGAATGTTCCTGTTGGTCACCTCATACAGGCTTCACTAAACTTGTCTCATTTGCAAGCTACCTTCACAGTTTTTGCCTTTTCTTTATGTCATCACAGATCACTGTGACAATTAACATGTATTTGGATTCTTTCCAATTGGCTCATTTTTAAAAACTGAAATACATTTCTTTAGAAAGGATATTTGATATTACCACCATAAATGGAGGTCAGGATCACATGCTACAAAGAACAGGTAATCATAAAAATGAGAGTAATGGAAACAGCTTGTTAAATTCAAGCCAGACATTGTTGGCAAAAATAAGATTTGTAAGGATTAGAAAGGTATTAAAAGTAATCCCCAAACTGAGACTTGGTCCTTGAGGTAATTAGGAGGACTGGAACAGGAGTTTCTTTCTCTCTGGTATTACTTACTGTTGTATCCATGCTCCATCTGGAAGTATCTCGTTCCCCTACAGCCACCTATTTTGTTTAAAAAAATTTTTTTTTCAATGATAGTTTACATTTAATATTATTTTATATTAGTTTCAGGTATACAGCATAGTGGTTAGACAATCATGTATTTTACAAAGTGTTCCCCCTGATAGTTCAGGTACCCACTTGGCACCATATAAAGTTATTACAATATCATTGACTATATTTCCTATGCTGTACTTGATATCCCCATGACTATTTTATAACTACCAATTTGTGCTTCTTAATCCCTTCAATTCTCTCACCCAGATCCCAGCCCCTCCTCCTCTCTGGCAACCGTCATCTTGAATACCAACTCTGGAGACAAGGTGTGGAGGAACCACAGGCGCACCCAGCCTGTTGCAAAATCAGTTGTCTTGATTTCTTTGGCAAATACACATGACACAACTAATGGAGATGCAGGAATGGGGGGGGGGAATTGAAGGGATTAATCCACCCTCATCTCCTTTGTCCAAGGTTAGACCTGAAAATAGAACCATGCCTTCAGACTTCTGATTCTGTGCTCTTTCTTCTCGACAGTATTTATCTGGCTATGCAGCAAGCTCTTGGATGCACAGAGGCCACCAGAACCAGAGAAAAGGAGTTTGGTTATACTTGGGTTATGCTGTGCCCATTGCTTGAGAGGCAGTTTCTGCACTGGTCCTCTTCTGAACAGAGGAGAGAACTATGGAGGACTGGATGGGGCCATTCTCTGTGTGGTCCAGNCTGAAGCCTCAAATCTTCTAATTGGGCCCAAAAGAGCTCAGATTATCAGTATCCCTTAGGACTCAGCCATAAGAGAAACTCTCCATGGCCCACCCCACCTTGGTCTTGAACCAACTTACAAGTCAAGAATGGAGTTAAGTCTGAACAATTCTTCTCTCAGCTTCTAGAGAGAAGTCACCTCATATTTTGTTTGACCCCTGTCCTGAAGGTACCCCCACTTAATCTTTCATTTCTGCTTTTTAATTTTCAGAAATGATGAGAAATATAATAAAGCTATATTTTAGCATTCGATTCCCTGGCAATCTCTTTTGCCTGCCATCTTGGGTGACAGTTGGCTCTCATGGGATTATAATGAGGCACTTAAGGAATAACCACCCCCCCACACACACACATATTTAATTCTATCCCTTTAGGTTCAATATAAATTATATTTTATTGTATTCTGATAGTTTCAGACTTGCCAATCTATGTATTCTTTATAGGATTGTTAGAATATTTGTTGAATGAGAACATCCTACTCCCCAGCCGTGCTAAATAACAGTTATGGTCCTCGGAGACACCAAGAACTTAAAGTGGAAACAAATACTGAGTTCTGTGGGCCCATTTGTTTTGCAGGTGGACATTCTGGAACATTATCATAATGTCACCGTTGGTTATTACGCTACCAAAGGGAGGCTGGTGTACTTGCCCACTGTAGTGATCGAAATGCTGGGTGTCTATGGGGTCAGCAATGTCACTGCAGATCTGAAGCAGCACACCCCAAACTTGCAGTCCGTGGCAGTGCTGGCCTCCCCCTGGAATCCTCCGCCTGCAGGCTACTTCCAGCTGAAAACAGGCAAGTAACTCAGAAGGAGAGGATTCCTCTCCATTCTGGGAGTGGGGCAGTTCCAAGACGACAACTCTTTAAGAACTCATTGCTAACTGCTCTGTCATGTCTTTAGTTCCCTGTGTTCCTTCCTCAAAGCGCCCTGCTAATCAAGTGCCCTGCAAATCAGCCTAAATTTTCCCTGGATTTATTAGAAATATTTCTTCACAGGACCCTTTCTTCCTAATGTATATAATTGGTACTTATGTGCACCAAGTACTATATTTTTCATTTTTTTCTATATTATAGATACTGGTAAGAGTAGAATAGCCATAAAATCTATACTTTGGAGCAACACGTTCCAGGTGCCACTGAATTAGAATCTCTGAGCTTAGGCCTTGGAATCTTTCTTTCAAGCTCCCTGCTGATCCCAAACCACAAGCATGGAGAAACCATTGAAATGGAAAGACTGAATCAGCTTAGTAATGCAGATCAATTGATTATTGCTTCCCTCCAAAGAATCAGAGGCATGATCTCTCTTAAGTTATTTTTTTAGCAGTCTTGGAGCAGATGCCTACATATTCTAATCAAATGAAATCCCCAAATCCTTTGCTTTGGAGGGAATCTCAGGTCTGATCACACTTTTAGTTCTTCTAGATTATAAATCATTTTAAGAGACATTTCCAAAACTACAACCAAACCTTGCCTCTTCCTTGCCCAATTGTTCTGATGTAAAAAGTGTGGTTTTATATTATGACTACTATTAAGTCCAAGGAACAAAGACACGGCGCGTTGGTGAGTGCGGGTTTATTACTCTCGTTCCAGTGCTGCAGTTTGTGAGCCAGTCGGACAACATACAGTCCTGCAGGTTTGCTCAGACAATGGAGCAGAGGCTCCAGCGGGCCTTCCAGGATGCCGAGAAGAAGGTCCTGAACACCCAAAGCAACCTGACCACTCAGGTAAGCAGGAGGGCGCTTGAGTCGTTTAGTTGACAGAGGCCACTCGTAATGCAGATGTTGGCAGGAGGTGACTAGGTCCCTCATTTCAAAGCTGCCTGGGATAAATGTTACTTTGTACTTCGGGTGCATGATATAGGCAGGAGACAGTGCCACTCCGGGGCCACTGAGCTGAGTTAGTCCCTGCACCTGCGAGGATGTCTGGGGTATGGAGGCTGTGTTGCTGTCTACCTGCTGTGGTTTGGGATTTTATATTTATTTTCCTGTGTGAAGATTCCTCAGGCCTTTCCAATATATTTATTATTTTTAAAAATTGAACTAGAATATACTATATAAGATATGTCAAATGTCTCACATAAAATGAATCATTTCTAAATAGCTGACTCACTAAGATTTGCCTATTCTGTGATTTTCATTGAGTTATTTTCCAGATATCCACATGAACAGTCATCTTACTTTATATACACACACACACAAAGACAGACAGACAGACGCACACACATTGTATATTCTGGGCTTCCTATGTGCCAGGACTGTGCTAAGTGTTTTACGAATGTTTTGCTACATAATACTTAAAACTTCCTTCCGAGGTTTATTATCACCATTCCACAGAAAAGGGAACTAGAGAGAGTTAAGAAACTTCCAGAAGATCACGTGGTTGGTTAAAAATAGAACAAAGACCTGAGCCAAAGCCCACACTCTTATCTATCATGCTATACTGGCATCAGTGCGATGTAGAAATGGGATCCTTGATGAAACTTTTGGCAAATACATGAGTGATTTCCCAGGAAAATCCCACCCCTGGTGTACTGTATTTCAATTTCCTGGATTTACAGTAGACATGCCATCAAATGCCTTTCTCAGGCCCATTTTTTGCAATTGTATAGATACCATCCCACTAAAGATAGATAGATGCTTCTTAATGATATTTATCCAGCCTCCAAATTTCTCTTATTAATGGTACTAGCCAATAACTCTGTTTTTACTGAACAAAAAGCCTTTAAAATGAAACCTGGTGGTTTTGAAATTGACATTCAGTATAAGTGAATTGTCAGCAAAGCCAATCTCGTGTAGAAAGCATACAATTTAATTTGAATGAGAAGCTTTCCTTTTCTAGATTCATTTAAAGTAGAAGTATCTCATTATGATTTGGTTCATATTGGATTCAAATCTAAAAACGTGTGACAGACTTAAGATTTATGTAAGGAGTATGAATCAGCTCTTTTGTGGGAGATCTTTTTTTTCTAATTGGATTTGGTTCTTCACAGGTAGAGTCTGGTTAGAGCTAGACTATTCTCTGCTTATATTCAGGAAGCACAGACTTATTGAGCACCTGCTAGTCATCAGGCACTAGGGGGAACACCAAGATAAAAAAGCTGCCTTTGGCCTTAGCAAGTAAGAAACCTTCCTTGGCAAAGACTACAACAGGCAGTTTGAAAATTGCATCTAAATAGATTTTAGATGCTCTTGAATATATCAACAGCTCTTGAAATGAACAGATAATTGGGTGAATTGTTTTATTAACCCAATTTCTCTTTTTCCTTGGCCAACAGGAAGCCAAGAGACAAAGTTGTTGCCTGGGTTTAGTAACCCTCTAAGCCCCTGCATCATGCATAAATAGCTGTATGATTGCCATTCCCCTGGGCCTGTCTTTAATCTGTTTTTCCAGGACTTGGTTTTGTAATTATAACTTTCCATTTCATTGTTTTAAATATAATTTGTGGAACACCTTGGATGCTCTGTGAAATAAGACCACATAAATATTTAATTAATTTGTTTAGTGAATCATTGAAAAAATGACTTAAAATTATTTTTTTACTTGTATAGCATTGATATTAGAGGCTAGATTACAGTAAATTCAATTAGGACTTTTTGGTGCAAATGACAATCCAAGCTTACAGGCGTAAGCAAAAAGAGGAAGTGATTCGTTCATATAACTGAAAGGTTCAGTTTATTTACTTCAGGCACAGCTAGACCCAGGTGCTCACATGATTTCTTCATGTAGTTCTCTGTTCATTTCTTGGCTTGCCTTGCTCTGAGCTGCTGTCATCCTCAGGCCCTGCGGGTGGCCCCTGGCACCTCTAGGTTTGCCTCATCCTTATTGCTCACAGTCTCATGGAACCAAAGTGCCTTTTTGTGTCATTCCAGTAAAAATCCTGGGATTAGCTCTCATTGGACACACTTGGATCCTGTGCCCATTTCTGGACCAGTAACTAGGCAAGGAGATGAAATGTCCCAATCAAGTACGCCTGGCTTAGATGTCCACTACTGGAACTTGGGTGGGGTAGCCCCACCCAAAGCAAATGAACTGATAGGGGAGAAGAGGTGTTTTCCCAAGAAAAGTTGTGATGCTATCATAGAAGGGATAATGGGTGCTGGGTAGGCAAAATAACAGCTTTCCATTAGGTCAGTCTCGTACACCTAATTTGCTAAATGAATAGTGGCATGAGTGAGTGGGAAGTAAGAGATGAGGTCAGAAGCCACAAAAGTCTAAGAATAAAGAAGTGATGGGGGACAGGGCATGACTTTCAGGGAACAGTGATATGGCCTGGATCTCAGGTCTTTGGACCTCTTATTTATGAAGCTAGTGTTAAGCAGCCACCAACAATGGTCACACTTTCCTTAGCTATAAAAATGACTATATGAAAGAAGACATACATAAATGGAAAAACATTCTATGCTCATGGATTGGAAAACTTAATATTGTTAAGATGTCAATACTACCAAGAGCAATCTAGATTCAATGCGATCCCCATCAAAATTCCAGTGACTTTTTTGGTGGAAATCCTAAAATTCACATGGAGCCTCAAGGGACGCTGAATAGCCAAACAGTCTTTAAAAGTTGGAGGCCTCACACGTCCTGATTTCAGAACTTACTACAAAGCTGTGCTAATCAAAACAGTGTGACACTGGCATAAACGTAGACATATAAACCAATGGAACAGACTAGAGAGCTCAAAAACCCTTGTGGATATGGTCACATGATTTTTGACAAGGGTACTAAGACCAGTGGAGAAAGGACAGTCTTTTCAACCAATGGTATTGAGAAACTGGACATCCATAAGCAAAAGAATGAAGGTGGACCTTTACCTAACCCCATATACATAAATTAACTCAAAATGGATCAAAGACCTAAGAGTACGAGTGAAATTAGTAATCTTAGAAGAAAACAGAAAAGTTTCATGACATTGAGTTTGGCAATGATTTGTTGAGTATGACACCAAAACACAGGAAACAAAAGAAAAAATAGATAAATTGGACTTCATCACAATGAAAAACTTTCATGGACCGAAGAACACAGTCAAAAGGTACTCCATCGAATGGGAGAAAATATTTGCAAATCATATAGTATTTAACAAGAGGTTAATATCTAGACTACATAAAGAATTCTTACAATTCAACAATAAAAGTCAAACAGCCTAATTAAGCAATGGGCAAAGGGCTTGAATAGACATTTCTCTAAAGCAGACGTACAGATGACCAATATATGACTGATCACTAGGGAGATGCTAATCAAAACCACAAGATACCACTCACACCTATTAGGAAGCATTATTTAAAAAAATAGGATATAACAAGTGTTGGTAGGGATGTGGAGGAATTGGAACCCTTGTGCACACTGCTGGTGGGCAGGTCAAATGGTGCAGCTACTGTGGGAAACTGGCAGTTCCTCAAAAAATTAAACAGAATTACCATGTGATACAGGAATTCTATTTCTGGGTATATAACCAAGAGAACTGAAAGCAGGGACTTGAATAGATATTTGGACACCCATGTTCATAGCAACATCATTCACAACAAGCTAGAAAGTAGAAACAACCCAAGTGTCCACCCACAAATGAACAAATAAATGTGGTATACAGATACAACGGAATGCTATGCACCCTAAGAAAGGAGCTTAATTCTGACAATGCTACCGCAGGGATGAACCTTGAGGACATTGTGCTAAGTGAAATGAGCCAGACACAAAAGGACAAATAGTGTATGATTCCGTTTATAAAAGGCATTTAGTTTCGTCAGATAGAGACAGAAAGTAGAATGGTGGTTGCTAGGGGGTGGGGAGAGGAAGAAATGGGAAGTTGTTGTTTAATGGGTACAGTTTCATTTGGGGGTCATAAAAAAGCTCTGGAGATGGATAGTAGTGGTGATTGCACAGTAATGGGAATGTACTTAATGCCACTGAACCGTACCCTTAAAATGATAAAATTTATGTGCTTTACCACAACAAAAATGTATGAAACTGATATAATGTTATATGTCAGTTATACTTCAATAAAAATATTCTCAGCTTAAAAAAGTGTAATTGTCTAGTCAAGTGTAGTGTGCACAGAGACACTCATACTGCAGGCTCTTTGGGACCCCGTGAAATTTAGTTTTGTTGAAAAGTGGAAAATAGAATGTTCACAATAGAGATAAAGGTCAGAGATAAAGGCAGCAAAGTTATTTTAGTCGTTACTTTTATAAGTGACAGTACAGCGAGGCCCTTCGAATTGTTCAGAGAGAAGAGCCTTTCTTCTTGGTAACTTGAGAAAGAGGTCTGAATACTTGTGGGTAAACCACATTCCAAAAATACTTGCAGAGAGGAGAGGAAGAATTGACCAGAAATGTATGACTCACTATGTCGTTCATCGTGGGACTGTATTATGTTCTCTGTGACAGAGAATTTAAAAGGAACTTCCACACATGGGAAAAGTTGGGAAATAACATGAAGAAGCTGTTCTCAAGATTCTTCAAAGTGAAGTTTAAAAGGAAAGTTGCAGGCATATGTATGTCTGAGCACGCAGAGGTCTGGGAAGGTCGGATAATCCATCAGCTCCTGGCAGGGAGAGGGGCACACTCAAATAAAGAAGGCAGTTTGAGGAGAGCCCAGTGAAAGGGACCCTTTGCAGAAGCCTGGGTGGGCACTAGCGAAACCACAGGAACAGGGCTGTACCTAAAACTGGAACAGGTGGGAGGGAACAGTTACAGGAAGCCAGGAGCCAGAGCTGCCCAGCAGGAGCTTTGGCCCCACAGGCATGGGGTCCCCAACACCAAGACTCTGACTTCACTCTCCCTCTCTCCATATCCTCCTGCTCCCCCCACCTTTTTTTAATCTTCACCCAAGGATATGTTTTTTATTGATTTTTTTTTTTTTAGAGAGAGGAAGGGAGAGAAACATCAGTTGATGTAAGAGAAACGTTGGTTGGTTGCCTCCCGTATGCGCCCGACTGAGGATCAAACCCACGACCTTCTGGTGCACGGGATGACGCTCCAATCAACTGAGCCACCCGGCCAGGGCCTGATCTCCCCTTGGCTGAGGCCAGAGGGCAAAGGAGCCCACTGAGGGGGTCTGGTCCACAAGGGCCTGCCTCTGGGGGTGCTGAGCAGGACGAGAGGGGGTGGCAAGTGGATGTGGAGGAGGGAGGAGCGGGCAAAGACTGTTTCACCAAGTGCAATGACTTCCTGCTGCATCTGTTTTTCAAATCTCATCTGTGGGATATTTTTGCTCGTACAGTGACCTAGAAAACCTCATTTTCCAGTAACGAAAAAACTGACTTAGACAAAATGTGAGAAGAAAATTGCACCATCTCATATTCATATTTATATGTTCTATGTTGAATTCGTAGACCACAAGGCTATGTGATCACTCTCTAAAGAAGCTATGTGATGTTTCTGAATTTCTTTGTAATCGAGTTCAGTCACTCTGTTTGTTACTAGGCTGGGGTATATTTTCTGTCCTTTCAACTTTAAAATTCCCCCCAAATTTCACTCTGGCTTTCCCTGTCTGAGCACATGAGTCCTCCTTAAATTTAACCTTCCTGTGCTCTGCTTTGTACTGTTAGGACCATAAAAGTAATCCGGGACAACCTAGCCCCTGGAAAAGATACACGCCAGTGGTTAAAACCTCAAGTCAGGCTGCCTGGATTTGAATCCTGGCTCTGTCACTTCTTAGCTGCATGGCCTTGGGCAAGCCCCCGATCCTTCTGGGCCTCAGTTTCCTCCTCTGTAAAAGGGAGCCATAATTAGATACACCTCCTAGGGTTGCAGTGAGAATTAAATGAGATAACTGGCCCTTAGCACGATGCCTGGCACATAAGCAGCCAGTGAGTGACGACTGTTGTTGTTCTTGTCTCCTCCTTGCTCTTCCCCCCCCTTCATTCCTACCCTTCTCTGCTGAAACTTCTCCCACGGCCTCCATGAAACAGACCCTCATCTTATTTGGCATGTCTCCCTCCCCTTTCCTCCTGTGTCGATTCAGATCGTGAGCACGTCCAACGCCTCGCAGACTGTCACCTTGGTGTACGTGGTGGGCAATCGGAGCTCTTTCCTCAATGGCACCGTCGCCAGCAGCCTCCTCCGCCAGCTCTCGGCCGAGCTGGTGGGCTTCTACCTCACCTACCCACCGCTCACCATCGCTGAGCGTGAGTATGTCCATGTCACGCTGGGCAGTGCCCGTTTCCCCAGGGCCTTTCTCCATTTTGCAGACATCCAGTGTGCGGGGCTGCATTCTAACTCTTTTGTCATAAAACACCTGGAATATGGAATCCATGGGGTTGAATTGGTGACAAGTTTATTGCACATTGCAAAAGAGCACTTGCTGGGTGCCTTTACTCTTCACGTATCTTTTATTTCGTTCAATCCTTACAACCGCCCTATGAGGTAGGTGCAAAATTAGCACCATTTTGCAGACGAGAAAATGAAAGTTTAAGTTGAATAAAACATCCACGCTCACACAGCTAGTGAGACATGGAATGTGGGGTTTGAACCCAAGCAGTCTGCCTCTGAGCTTATAATCCTGCCTGGTAGGGCACCTGTCCTTGTGGCAATATGGATTGCTATGGTTTCCCCCACTTTTGCCATCAGCAAGTGTTCCAGGGCCTTTAGCCCTTGCCCTGGCTGTAGATGCCAGTGCAGCTCATTTGCAGTCAACATCGTGACTGAACTTGATGAAGTCGCCATGGTGTGGTGGCCTCGTCTTCCGCTAATGCTTGTTACATAATTCTCATTACTATGCAGCAGGCATAGACTTTGAAGACGATCCAGCCTATATTCTGTCTCCAAACGCTTACTTGGCAGCCAAAGGAAGTAAAGATTTGTGCTCTTAAATTTAATTATTGGTACATTTCTCAAGGTCACTGGTCAAGTTTTTTAAAAAACACATATTAGCAAACTTCTATTTCCTTCGATGGTTGCTTTTGATACTGTAAGTAAATGAGATGATGTGTGTGGTTGTACTTTAGCACAAGCTAGCCATTCAGAATTTTTTTTTAAATTTAAAAAATATATCTTTATTGATTTCAGAGAGAGGAAGGGAGAGGGAGAGAGAGAGAGAGATAGAAACATCAATGATGAGAGAGTCATTGATCAGCTGCCTCCTGCACGCTCCCACCAGGGATTGAGCCCACAACCCGGGCATGTGCCCTGACCGGGAATTGAACCACCATCTCCTGGATCCTAGGTCGATGCTCAATTGCTGAGCCACACTGGCCGGGCCAGAATTTTATTGAATGTTTATTTAATAGCAAAGTTTTGTGAATTTCCATATAATAAAGAAAGATAACTGGATTCTATGAAAGAGATGATGTCATAAAATAAGGCATCATGTCACATGGCAGCATGTGAAGAATTTATTTTCTTTTATCTCAGTATTTTGATAATAACAACAGCTAAGATTTATTGAGCACTTACTGTGTGCCAGGCACTGTGCTAAGCCCTTTACATGTATTAACTCTGATGGTCACTGCATCTGTGAAAAAATGTTAGTTTTAAGCATCTGGCTGCTAAACTTAGTCCTTGACATTCAAAAAAGCCATTCAAGAGATAATCATTCCTAAAAATGGTAGTGACAGTTGGATATTTTTAAAGAAAAAGCTACGGTTCAGACAGGTTCTAGCTGTGGGTCTTGATAATGAGGCTCCACTTAAGAAAGTTTGGATGGAAAAACTGAAAGAGCAGAAATCCACAAACCCTAGAAAACTCTTCGTCTGGAAGTGAGCTCTTTACTGAGTATTTTAGTTCTGAACAGAAAGGTAGTTTTGTCCTATGTGTCGGAGTTCCTGAGAGTGAGAAAGCAGGATTCAGCTGCTTCATATTTTGTCACCTACGTCCATGTCCCTTAACAATATTTACATATAAAACTCATGAAAGTAATTTGGTGTGTTTCTAATTTGTTTTAGCATTGGAATATCCCAACCTTGACATATCAGAGACAACCAGAGACTATTGGGTAATTACAGGTAATCTCTTATTTTATTTCCCCTTTCACCCTGTCCAGTTGGTTTGTTATTTTTAAATTGCATGTCAAAAGAGAAAAAACCCTAAAAAAATAAAAACAACATGTTACTTGGTGATAGGAGTGATAGGATTGGCATCCCTTTTTTTTTTTAAATCCTCACCTGAGGATATTTTTCCATTGCTTTTTCAGAGAGAGTAGACGGGAGAGAGAGAGAGAGAGAGAGAGAGAGAAACGTCGATGTGAGAGAGACACATCAATTGATTGCCTCCCGCATGCGCCCTGACTGGGGCTGGGGATCGAGCCTGCAACTGAGGTACGTGCCCTTGGTCAGAATCAATCCCGGGACCCTTCAGTCCTCGAGCCAATGCTCTAACCACTGAGCCAAACCGGCTAGGGCTTAGCATCATTTTTTTGGTCCTGTCCTGTAAGTCAGGGAGTTACTTTCACAGGACCAGAACTGGGTGGAGGAAGCTGAAATGGGAAAAAGAAATCACACTGAGGATGAATGACCGATTTAAAGTCGCAGGCTGAGAGGCCCACCTGGCGGCCTCCTCTTTGCAAAAAGTGGGCCGATCAGAAGGAACAGCGTGGATGTCCAGCGCACGTCCATGTGAATGGTTGTCTGTTTAAAGACTGTAGGCCTTTCTGCACTGCCCTACAAAGTGCCAGTGAAAGCCAGAGGAATGCCAGGCATGCACTTTCCTCTCTCCCTGGGCATGAGGCCCACACCCACGCTAATCCTGGTGGAGCCAAGGAGTGTCCTGACAGTGAGGGTGGATGGAAGTAGAAGGGTGTTTGGGTGGCATTTTTTCCTTGACATTTCCCAAAGGAGCCTTATGAAACAACAAAGCAGTTCTTGTTTTTCAAAAGCCAGACAGTAGTTCTGAAAATCTGAGAAGCAAGGATTGGAAGCAAAGAGAAAAGGCAGATGTTTATAGGAGGAAGAGTGACCAGGCCAGCCATAAAAGGAAGGGACAGGAAGGGGAGGGTATTGGTCTGCTAGGGCTGCCATCGAAAGTACCACAGACCGGGGTAGGGTGGGGACTTCAACAATTCTGGAGGCTGGAAGTCCAATATCAAGGTGTCAGCAGGCCTGGCTTCTTCAGAGGCCTCTCTCCTGGGCTTACAAATGGCCATCTTTCCTCTGTGTCTTCACATGGCCTTCCCTCTGTACGTGTCTATGTCCTGATTTCGTCTTCTTGTAAGGACAGTCATATTGGATTAGGGTCCACTTCTATGATCTCATTTTACCTCAATTAGCTCTTTAGTCTCTGTTTCCAAATACAGTCACATTCTGAGGGACGGGGGGTTAGAACTTCACCATCTGAATTTTGGGAGGACACAGTTCAGCCCATACAAGGAGGGAGGGAGATCCTGTAAGTCATGGAAGAAATGCCTGGGCGAGCGGGCCCATCTAAACTCTTCCCCCCTCACGCTGTGCGGGCGCGCTGGCCTGCTGCCCACACCCGGCAAAGGGGCACAGCCTGCGTGATGAGACCCGCCCAAGACCTCTCCTAAACTGCAGAGAATTGCTTTTCTTTCTCCCCTGCAGAGCCATGGATATGCAGAGATTTTTTTTTTTTTTTTTTTTTTTACCTGTTAAGAAGACAAACTAAAGAAATGTGTTTAAAAAGAAAAAAAACACAACTCACCAGAGTTTATGCCCAAGAGAGAAACAGTGCTAACCCAGCAACACATTTTCCGTGCCAGCAGGTTATGTAACATTTACAACATTATTTTTTTTCTCCACTAGCAATGCTGCTTTATAATTTGCAGAGGTTTCCCTCCTTCTATTAACTTTAAGGTTTACATTGAATGGTACCACATCCACTCTTAAGCACAGATGTCCTAGACAACCTCCTGTTTCAGTCTGCCCTCATGTACCTGTGTCTTGCCCTGCCTCTACTGTACTGATATAACCTCAAACTCCACACATGGTCTTGTTTTCAGGATTCTCCTGGGACTTCACGCCCTGTCCCCTTACCTATGTAACCCTCATTTGTAATTGCTGCTGTGGCTGTTGGTGATCAGACGAAACAATGGCCTCCATCACTGTGTTTGGGGCTAGTTGGATCAGTTGGTACTTGAGGCAGGGGGGATCAAAACCAACCTCAGGATGACCCTCCTTCCTTCTTGGCTCATGACTACTCTCTACTTCATGGGCAACCACCACCAACCTTTTACCATTAGTTACAGAGGGGGTGGGAGATCAGGAACTGAGACATGAAGAAAGCTTTATACATCCTGTTCAAACCCACAGCCCCTTGAATAACCAATCCCTCTGCCTTTTACGCCCAGAGAGTCATTACGGGCACCCTGTCTACTGCCCACTGATAACTTGGAGCAACTTTCTTTTATTTAGTTTGTAATGTAAAACAACTGACATGTTTTCACCTATGTGCCCACTGAACTTACGTTAAATGTTTTTGCACACTGTACACTTCTCCCCTCTCTGAGTGGAAAGTCATTGGCTGAGGGTGACTCCTGTAGTCACCCTCTGTATTTACAGATAGCGCAGGAGCTACCCTGCTGTCCATGGGTCTTGCCCAGCTTAGATTTGAAATCTATGTTTATTTTACCCACCAGAGGCAAAATACTCCAGACCCAGTGATCACAGGATTTCTTCTGGTCTCAGCTCTGCTGCATTTGAACCGAGTGTGTCTCTGAGCCAGTCACTCAGACCCTGTGGGTGTCACACTTTCCCCCTTAGAATCAGGAGGATATGAGCTGAACATTCAGGCTCTTTTGGCTCTGAGTGTGTGGGATTCAACCATGAATAAAACAGTTCAGATTGAATACAGGAAGCTGAATCAGGCCTGATCATTGGAACTTTTGGTCCCAGTGCAATTGTAAATAAAGAGTAAGACAACAGTGATGTAATAGTCACCAAATCTTCTGGACAAATCTCCTCTGAACACAGCTGGAGACTTACCAGTCTCCTCTCAGCTGAGTCAGTGGTGGGCAGCCAGGGTCCGAGCTCCCCTACTGCTCTGTGCCACTGGGAGAGATGTGTATGCACACCCCTCTCTACTCCCTTCAGGGCTGGTGGAGAGGGCAGGGAGCCGGAGGGCTGATGCACTTCTCAGGGGGGAGGAGAGGAGCCACAGTCCTAGAACACAGTTCTATACTATATTGTTTCTTCTTCTGATAAGGATGCGTCCAGCAAAGAAGGGGACACACTTGAACATTAACAAAGCTACTTATTATGGGCATCCTCTCAAGTGCCTTACAGCACTGTGCTGGAAGCATTTTTTCAATAAAGTATCTGTTCTTCACAATGACACAATCAAGAGTAGAGTATGACCCCCTGTTTTCAGATAAGGGCCCATTGGAACTGAGCGACTTGCCCGAGAACACTCAGTAAGGGGCAGACCAGGTTCAAACTCAGGCGCCTGGTTCAACCCTGTCTGTTCCCCAGCTGCCTCCTAAGGATGCATTCTCTTTGCAAATACAGCTATGAGCCTTGTGGGAACTGTCCAGGTGCTGATTTCATGTAACCCTGTGCGAGGGTCCCACGGCCTCCTACACTTTCCTGGAGGTTAGTTTGTTTTCTCAATTATTAAAATTGTGGTAAAATAGACATCACATGAAATTTACCACTTTAACCATTTTTAAGTGTACAATTCAGTGGCATTAAATACATTCACAGTGTTGTACCACCGTCACTGCTGCCTACTTCTGGAACTTTCTCATCACCTGGGGGCTTTGGCTATCCCTTTCTTTGATGTCTGCCCTTAAAGTAATTAACCCATGATGAAGCTTCTCCGTGTCCTGTGCCCCCTGCCCCCCCCCACTCTGTCCATTGGTCAGGAGAAGCCAACTTAGAAGTAATCCTTTAGCAGTTAATTGTGAAATTTTACAAAAGGGGAAGCTCTGAATTAGCAAGAGCATGGGCTCTCCTGTCGGGCCAGGAAGTGTGCTGAGTCAGGGGGATTCCGAGGGGCCTCTGTGGGACCTGCTGCTGTGGGACCAGCGCAGGAGCATTTCATCTTTGTTGGTAGGCATTCTGCTGACAGCTGAGCTGGGAGTCCCTCACAAGGGCCCTAGAAAGAGAGACGCTTTATTCCCTCCATGGGGATTATTTGGCATTTATGGCCTCAAAAGACTAATTCCTGAGGCTCAGCTGTGGGTTTTACTTCTCTTTTGATCAGTTTAAAATCATTCTCTATATCTTGTTGTCCGTTGCTTGTTCTGGCCCCAAGTAGAATGCGATCATAACAACATGTTCTTTATACCCAAGCTATTTCCATATCCCAGTAGATGGCTGGTATTAATGGTCCTTAGCTGGACTGTGGTAGAACAAACTCCCCAGCCCATGTAAGTTTTGCTTTCTTTAAGATGAGAATAGTTTTTAGGTTCAGGGATGACTGTGTTTGGAGGCAGTGTTTGTGTGTCTGGGATGAAGTGTGCTTCCTAAGAACTTGGAGGAAGGACTGGATTTTGGGGATTGGCAGCAAAAGGTAGTCAAAAGTAAGTGACCGCTGCAGTCCTAGCCCTGGTGTTCATTAAAACCCCCCTCCATGCACTAGCCACTGCCTGGAATTCCGTCCTGATGCCCTACCTGTTGATTACAGATACCCTGGAGCAGATGAAGCTCAGGGGTGGAGGGGGGATGCAAAGAGGAGTTTCGTGTACCTTCCATGTGCTGGGCACTGTGCTAAGTTCCTTTATACACCTTGTCTCATTTCAACCATAGTTCTCACAACCGGGAAGAACTCACTCTCTCATGATGCCCTGCTCTCAGAGGGAAGAGTCCCCAAGAGGCCCTGGGCAGCTTTGGGGTGGCTCTCAAGAGGACCACAGAGGAGGGAGAGATGAGGACACTGAAGAGGGTGGTTGCCAAGGTGTAAGGGGCCGAGTTGCAGGATGGAGCTTAGATTCCACAGCAAAACTGTTGAGAAGGAAAAATAAAATAAGGGTAGCCTGGAGCCGGAGCTTCTGAGTGGGAGCCAGCAGAAAATACAGTTAGCCACACCTGTATCCAGGCTGCATCCCCACATGGACTCCAACAACACAGAATCTTCAGTAAGGGTTGGATTTAATACAGAGCATTAGACGTGTCACAGCTCATGGAGGAGAGAGCCCAGGCTTTGGGTTTGGACCTTCACTTTTCTGTGTACTAGCTGTGACCTTGACAAGTCACTTAACCTTTCCAGCATCTATAACGTGGATAGTGGATCCTACCTCCTGGGGCTGTTGTGAGGGCAAAGCGAGGTAAGGGTGGCCAAGCCCTCACGTGAGGTAGAGCCCATGGCGCCTCCTGGCTGGGGCAGGGGTGGTGGTGGTTGTAGTTCTGAGGCACAGGGAGCCTGTCCTCTGAGCAGCCCCTCTGCCTTCTGCATGTGCAGTGCTGCAGGGCGTGGACAATTCACTGGTGGGTCTGCACAACCAGAGCTTCGCCCGGGTCATGGAGCAGCGCCTGGCCCAGCTGTTCATGATGTCCCAGCAACAAGGCCGGCGGTTTAAACGGGCCACCACCCTGGGAAGCTACACCGTGCAGGTAGGTGTGCGCAAAGCCACTGGGGCCTTCTTATAACTGGGGGGGAACATGCTGTGTGCAGAGGAGCAGCTGCAGCACAGACTGACCATGCCATTTAATCAATGCTGCGCTTAGGGTTCGGGGTCCGGGGGTCATAACATCAAAATTGTGAAGGAGGGTGAGAGTTTGCTCCTCCCNCTCAACGCTGCGCTTAGGGTTCGGGGTCCGGGGGTCATAACATCAAAATCGTGAAGGAGGGTGAGAGTTTGCTCCTCCCCTGACAGCCTTACTACTAGATGATAAGGAAAGCAGGTCTTGGAACAAATTCTGCACACATGCAGATGTTTATTCAATAAAAAGTTGTAAGTAAGCAGACACAGGCTACTCACCAACCTGTTCTGTGGGCCCAGTGAAGTCCCAGCTCTCAGTCTTTCAGGCCCTCTCACCACCACCACTGTGAATGGCAGATGCACCAGCCAGAATTCCAGGTGCAGGGTTCTGTTAACCTTTAGTCAGTTTTGATAAATAGAGCCTTCCAAGTTTATAATGGGCACATGACCACACAGGGATTTAGACGAGGGAGCCATATAGCAGGCACTGTTGGTGCTCGGCCCAGATCCCCTTGCCATTTCTATCAATGCCAACAGCCACCTCTGACTCTTTATGGAAGGATTGCTCTTGAGATGCCAGAACCCACCTTGCCCACACCATGGCAGCCAGAAGTGCCTGGGAATTAACCAGCCCAGCTCTGTGTCTTAGCTAGGGGAATTCTGAATGTATGTTTTCGATCACTTCCAGAGCTTTCCCACAGAATTAAGCTTTAATTACTCACTGTGGTAACTGGCTTAATAACCGACCCTTTGTTAACTCCTTCCTATCCCTGTCAGTTTCTTGCATCTCTCAAATTAACTATAAACACTCAACTCTTCTGAACCTGCTCTTAGGGAACCCAACAGAAGACAGTAACCATCCCCAAAGCAGTGACTCTAAGCCTCTAGATTCTTTATCTGGTTCAAGCAAGAGTGAGACTGTCTCTATCATATTCTAGTTAATCCACAAGTCTTGAACAGCCTCAGTTTCACCAAACGAGAGCCCATTTCTAACGACTGTTACGCTAATTAACAAAGCTCTGCTGAGCAAGTTGACACATTAGGGAAGGACATCCTGGTAGCTGCCTCCAGAGCGGACTTCCCAATTGAAATCTAGCCCAGTGCTTCTGGGGTGTGAACTCCTGATTGGTAGCACTAAGAGGAAATGTTTTAAAGGAAATTACAGACTTTACCCCAATCTGCAAGTCATGTTCCAGGCAGTCTTGTAAGTACAAAGAACCCCTCTTCTGGAACACGCTTTCCTGCTTGAGTCAGCTGTGTCCCCGAGGGAGACTCCAGGCCTCACTTTCACAGCGGGTGACTCTGGTCCCTTGTCCTGTTAAATGTGGCGTTGGTTCTAAACGTCTTTGTGGCCTGTGACAGCCTCGCCCTGAAGTAAAGTGACGGTTAATTTCTGGGTTAATTTGTGTGTCAGGTTAGTGATTTCCCCTCTGTGGGTTCCCTGTGAGCCCTGTAATTCACACTTTTCCAAACAACAGAAAGGAAGTAGCTGGGACGACAGTGACCTGGGATTTGCCATTCACTAATAACACCCGCAGTCTTGGTGTTATTAGTAAGGCTAACAACCTTAACAATGTTCTGTGTGTTGAAAGGTGCCCGTGGGATGTTCTTTCCTCTTGTCCGCTGCGTACCCAGCGTGCTTGGCCCCTACAGTTGCCAGGAAAGTGAGCGAAGCAAGTAGAGATTTATTTCTGCAAATCCCTAATTCGCAGAGGCTGCAGATCACCTTCTAACATTACCCTTGGAGAAATCTCGGTGAGAAGGATTTGCTAAGAAACTGAAATTGAGTGAAGTCATTAGATATTCGAAAGCTCGTTCACCTTCTGCCTGGTTGTACTAACACTCTCCCCACCTCCTCTCCCACGAGGGACAGGAATGGCGTGCCCAAGTTTCCCAATTGAAATTCACTCCACAGAGCTGACATCATCTTTCCACACAGAGGCCTTTCTTGTGGGATCTGATCATTTCAAAAGATGAGCCACCTTCATGAATGTGGAGATTTAGAGGTCTAGAATGTAGAGATATTTCTCTAGTAGATATATTTGAAAAAAAAGTGAGTCCAAAGAAGAAATACATATGACCAATACACATTTTTAAATGTTTAGCTCCATTTGTCATAAAAGTAATGCAAGTCTTAACTACCACACGATTATATTTTTACCTTCCAAAGGTTAGTAAAATGCTACTATCCACTGTTGATGCGGACACAGGGAAATGGGCACTTTCTAACAGGAAATGGGTCTGACCTCCCTGGGGGGCAAGTGAGCAATTTAGACAATAACCTGTTAGATGGTCACAGTCTTACTCCTAGATATTCATTTCGAAGATAGAGGTAAACACAAAGAGGAAGGGTGAGAGCANATCTTACTCCTAGATATTCATTTAGAAGATAGAGGTAAACACAAAGACGAAGAGTGAGAGCAGTGCTTCTCAGACGGTGTCCAAAAATGGTCCCGTGAGGAGCCCTGAGGCAGAGGCGCTCTCTGGCCAGATCAGTGGGTAAGGCTGCATCTGTAGCCCCTTCTTGACAAGTCCCAAGGCATATTGGCAAGCCAGACTCTAAAAAGACCTGTAGTAAAGAAGTCTCCTTTCAACATATTATATATGCTTTCTAAATTTAAATGCCAACAAGACCCTTGTTTTTAGGAATACCTATATTTCTCCATTTTGTTGTGAACATGTTCACACTCACAGAAACGTTGGAAAAATGCCATGCTAAACACCCATATATTCACCATCTAGGTTCTATAGTTAACAGTGCGGACTGTGTTCCTGTTTTATATTTAGTAGCATACATCATTTCCACACCATAGATCAGTTTGGATTGTTCTAGAACTTGATATAAACGGGACCCTACAGTATAGTCTCTTTTACGTAAAGCTTGTTTGACTCAGTGTAGTGTTTTTGAGATTCACCCATGTTGTCATGTTATTTAGCAGTTTATTTCTTTTTATTGATGAATAATATTCCCTTGTAGGAATATACTACGGTTTATGCAGTCTTCTGTTGATGGATACCGGGGCTTTTTCCAGGTTTTAGCTATTATAAACAAAGCTGCTGTGAACATTCTACTATAAGTCTTTCTATGGCCACGTGCTTTCGTTTCTCTTGGGTATATAAGAGTTGAATTGCTGTTCACAGGGTTGGTGTATGTTCATTCTGTAAGAAACTGCCCAATCTTTTCCCAAAGTGCAGCATTTTACACTCCCACGGCCAGGGAGAGCTGCAGTCACTCCACATTCCCGTCAGCACTTGGTGTTGGCCGCCCTCTCATTTTAGCCATTCTGGTGGGTGATTGTGGTGTTTCATGGCTTAAACTGAATTTTCCCATCGAGCATTTTTTATATGTTCATTGGCTATTTAGATATCTTCCTTGGTGAATTGTCTGGTCAGGTTCTTTTTAAAAACCCATTTTTATTGGATTGTAGTAATATCTATTTTTAATTGTTATACGTAGCATACATACCAAGAGATGTAAAAATATGTAGTTTAAAGAACACTGATAAAAAGAACCCACAGCCCAAAAGGTAGGAACATTACTCTTAGCTTACCCAAGAAGCTTCTCGTGTCTTATTATACACGCTTCCTTTCATTCTGTCAGAGTTGAGTGTGCTTCTGAATTTTGTGTGAAATCATGCCTGTATTTTCTGTATATATTTTACCATCATTTGGTTTTGCCTGTTTTTGAATTTTATATTATGTGATTTTTAATTTTTTTTTGTTCAGTGTCAGATTTTTGTATTCAGCCGTATTGATACAAATAGCCAGAGTTCATTTACACTGCTCTATAATATTTCATTGTGTGACTATACCGTAACTCATCTATCCATTCTACTGTTGGTAAGTTTTGAATTGTCAGGGTTTTTTTGCTATTAACAATGCTGCTATAAACATTTTTGTAATATCTTTCAATAGCCTATGAAACTTGTAATCTGTAATATACACTTCAGAAAAACACTACTGTGCTATAATGCCTACCAGTTGTTAATTATAATAGTGAAAAGCTGATAACAACCTAAGTGTTCAAAAATGAAGGGTTAGTCGAGTATGAGGCATGGATACAGTAGAACATTATGTAGGTATTAAAATTTATGTTTTATGTATTTGTAATGATTTCCAGTTGTTAATCACAATACTGGGAAATGAGTAACAATTTAAGTGTTTAACAATAAAGGATTTGCTAAATAAGTTTATGAGGTGCAATTAGAATGTAGGTATTAACATTTATACTTTCATTATATTTAAGGTCATTTAAGGATACAAGTAAAAATAGCAAGATGTTATACTATATAGAGAGTACTATAAGTAACTTCGTAAAATAATAAGTAAAAGGTTTGTTTGGGGAAAAAGCAAAAAATAGAAGCAAATACTCCAAAATGATAATAGTCGTTAGCTTGTGGTGGACGGAGTACAGATTGTTTTTATTTTGTTTCATTTCTTGATGCTTTTCTATATTTTCACATATTCTGCAGTAAATACGTATAACTTGTACAGTGAGAAAAAGAGCTATAGAGGTTATTTTAGAAAAAGAACTTGGAGTCTCCAGTTACTGCTTCTGTCAGAGGTCTTTTGAATTGCAGACATATAAGTTCATTTCCCCCCCCTCTGGCAATTGCAGGAATTTGAAATCAGAAATCTTGTTTGAAAATAACCTGACACGCCCTGAATTAATGTGGAGGCCTATTTCCAAATGAGGCCAGAGCTCTCTGGAGGCTGGAAGACATCTCCGTTTCAGCGCTTTCTTCTCCAGCCTCACACTGTGCTTCCAGATGTTCATATTTCCTCCCCCCTCTCCCCCTTCAGCAATGGCAGGGCTCCTCGCAGCCTGGGTGACAGGGAGGTACATGAAGGGCCATGTCTGAAATGCGCACTGTGGGCCCACCCGGCCCCCGAAGGCTGCAGCAGTCAGGAGAGAGCCTGCTGGTCGCCTGAGGGACCGCAGGGTGTGTGCGAGATGCCCTATAAACATGGCCTCTTTTCTTCTGAAAGATGGTGAAGATGCAGCGGGTGCCGGGGCCCAAGGACCCAGCGGAGCTGACTTACTACACCCTGTACAACGGGAAGCCTTTGCTGGGGACCGCGGCTGCCAAGATCCTGAGCACCATTGACTCCCAGAGGATGGCGCTGACCTTGCATCACGTTGTCCTCCTGCAAGCTGACCGTAAGGGGATACTCTTTCCATTCATTATTTGTAACGCTGTTAAATGTTTCCTGCAGATCAAAGCGACCCCCTAAGCTCCTGGTAATGGACCCGGAGACAAACATACTCCTGTCCCAGAAGGTTTTTAAATCAGCTGTGTTCCAAGCAGTAGGTTTTGGGTAAAGGATATGTTTTGAATATTAGAAAGATAGTAATGATATTGCTATGCCCGAATTCTACCCACTCTTCCTCCTCAATATAATCTAGTGAATAACTAGAAAAATCGCCATAGCTGAGACTTATTTGTCTGCTGGGGAATTAAAGATAATTTGATTCAGTGAGCATTTATAGAGCCCTACTTGAACCGCCTTGGTACGAGACGAGGGCAAGACCTGGTCCCTGCCTTTAAGGAGCAGAGAGGGAGCTGATGCAGATACGAAGGAGTGGACTGCAAGAAAGTGCTACAGGGAGGCAGTGTGATGCAGGGGTCCAAGAGGGAGGTTTGCTCTGAAGGGGCCTCTGGGAAGAGCTAACGGAGGAAGGATATTAAAAATAATAGCTGCCTCTTTGAGTACCCTCCCCTGTGGCAGCTGCTGTGCTCACTGCTTTACATAGATTTTCTCACTTTCTCCTCTCACTGGGGTAACTGTATTCAGCTTCAAATCACAGATGAGGAAACTAAGGGTCAGGAAAGTTAACTAACTTGGTCAGTATCACAGAATTAGTATCTAGGTCACCAAAATATGAACCTGGGTCTGTCTGAATGCAAACGTGTGCTCTTAACTGTATCACACTAAGATTTCACCAGAGGGAGAAGAAGGGTGTATATTCTAGAAAGGGGGAGCAGCATGAAAAAAAGAATGGAAGCAAAAGTACCAGGTGTGCTTGAAAAACAAGGAGTTCAAATTGCCTGGAGTGCAGAAACATGAGGGAGAGATGATGGGCTTAGAGAGGTGTATTGTTGAGAGAGCCCGGCCTTGACGGACAGGGGAGGGAGACTGGACGTAAGAGGATTCATTTGCTGGAGATGTTTACCTGGCTCACTGTCTCTTCTGCACCCCTTCTGTCCCAGTCCATCCTCTCCTTTGACCTTTGAGTTCTGTGGCTTCCTCGCTTCTCTTGGAGGCCTGTGGTGCTTGGGAAGGAGCAGAAAAGTGAGAGCTGGCTTTATTAGAGCAAGAGGTGAATGGAGTGTCAGGGGAAGTGAAGTGGTTGAGGCTACAGGGACTTGGCTGATGGCAGTGAAGGGGAGCAGCGGGAGGTGTGAGAGCACAGGTGGGAGAGAGATCGTATCAGATTAGAAGATGCAGGAAGCCTTTTGGAAATGAGGGATCATCTAGGGGATTATCCAGAAGCATGGCTATGACTCGGAGAGCCAGACCCTGTTAGCTTGGCTCCAAAGCTGCTGTCCCTCAGCTTTACTTCTTTGTGTCCTCCAAATCCACGTGGTCCTCTCAGTTCCCTTCTATAACAACTCACAGATCTCTCCTTTTTTCTCCATTTCATCATCATGTCCTCTTGGACTTTGCAGGAGCTTCCCAAATAACTCAACCTCAGTCACTTTGCCATTAATGCACCTTCCATGCTGTAATTAAAGTCATTATATACACTTTGGAAAGCCCAGATTCTGATCTTACATCTACTCCATCAAAAAAAATACATTTGATGGTTTTTCATTGTTCACAGAATAAAGTCCAGACTCCTTAAAATGGCTCTTCTAAGCCCTTCACAGCAGGTGCTCAACCAATGTTCAGGTCCCTTCCCAGCCTGCTCTCCGGGCTACTTTTCCAGCCGTACCTCCTGCTTTTCTCTCCTTCATGGCTAATGCTTCAGCCACACAGGAGTCTTCATCCCTCGCATGTCCTATTCCTCTGAAACCTTCCTTGGCCCCTGAAGCAGAGCCCATTCTTTCTTAGTTCCAGGGGCTTCCATTGCCCTCATCACATTGAGCAAATGTGTTCTTTTCTCTCTCTCCCTCGTGAGCTCTTTAAAAGCAGCTACCACATCTCATTTATCTTTGAATATCCAGCCCCAACTACTGTCTGGCTCTGTTCTTGTGAAGGCAAATGACCGACCTTTGCTAAATGCCTGTGCCAGGCCCTGAGGGAGACACATGGTTGAAAGACACCAAGGCAGAGCAGTTGAGCAGAACCTTTGCAATAAGACAGACCTGGATTCACGCCCCTGCTCTTCCACTCTGTAGCTGTGGAGCTCAGAGACAAATGAATGACCCTCTCTGACCTTCATTTTCCTCATCTGTAAAGTGGTAATATTAAAAAACACACAGACCTAATAGAGCTACTCAGAGGACTAAATGAGAGAATGATTGCAGGGAAAGGGCTTAGTACAATCCTGGGACGCCTATTAAGCACTTAGTTAAGTGGTAGCTGGATGTCTCATTTTATCCATAAGGTAGAAGGACTAAAGGAGAGACGGAGTGAAGAAAGAAAGGTAATTTGAAGGTTAAGAACCCATATAATTCACAGAATGGGGTGCTATTAATGAAAGTAGAAAGGGGATTAGAGAGGAGAAGCATTTTCAGAAGGGAGAGGCGATTTACTCTGTCTGGGCCACGTTGAGTTTAAAGTGATGAGATATTAAGGGGCCCTGATGGGATATTGAGGACTGAGGTTAAGAAAGCTGTTGGAATTCAAGTCTGGATCTCAGGAGAGAGGTCAAAGCTAACACTATAGATTTTGAGAATATCGTAAACACATAAAATCCCGGAGAAAATTCAAGCGTGTGGGGAGAGAGTGTAGCTAGAGGACAGACCCTGGGAAATGCCTCCATGCCCAGAATCAGATGAGGCAGAAGCCAAGACCGATGAAGAAGAGGGGGAAGGGAGATGCTGTAGATCCACTTTCTCCTAATGGTTTTGAAATTAGCATGTGGTGTGAATCTGAGGTCGGTGCTTTGAGTAGAGTCACGGTGTTGAACAAACGCCTTGTCCCTCTGAGGGGGTGTTGACTTTCTGTGCGTCCCAGTGTCTTCTAAATCGCCGGTTCTGGGCCAGTGTGCACTCCCTGCGTGCAGTGCCCTACAGTGGAGAGCGCGGTGCCACATGACCCCTGTCGCCTCTAGGTGACGAGGCAGCAGTGAATTCTAAAGAAGCTGCTGCGCTCCCTGTGAAGGTTTTCACCTGCTCCCTCTGCGGGACCTGGAGTGCGAGGCCCTCCATGGTGGTTGTCTAGGTGACAGAGTAGAAAAATTCTCTCCACTCAGGACCAGACCAAAGCAGGAGTTGGTTTACCTTACATGGCCATTAGACATTTATCTCAAAAATGTCATTTACAGAAAGCAATAGACTGACCCTTTGGTGAAAGGAACTGGTGCTCATTCATTTTTTTCAACAAATTCCTTTTTAAAGCACCTATTATGTGCCTGGAGCTGTTCTAGGCACTGGAGATACAGCAATGAATGAAACGGACAAAATTCGACCTTGTGGAGCTTACATTCCTGAGTGGGCAGATCAAATAAATAAATAATATGTCAGATGCTAATAAGTACCGTGGAGAAAAATTAAGCAGAGAAGGGCTAGGGGGTGTCGAGGAGATAATGGTTGTTATTTTAAATTGGTGAGGGTGGTGGTCAAGAACAGGATCACTGAGGTTGTAACTTTTGAGTGACCACCTGAGAATATCTGGGGACAAGGTTCCAGGTTGAGGGGGAGGGTTTGAGACCAGTGAGGTCACTGAGGGAAGCAGCAGTGGGGTCAGAGGTACAGATGAGGGGTCACAGCACGTGAGCCTCATGGGCCACACCCGAGTGGGATGACAGCCAGTGGATGGTTTGGGCAGGAGAGCTACGTGGACCAGGCACTCACCGGCTGCTGGGCCCGGGGCTCGACCCAACTCCCCACCCACTCACACCAGTCATTAACTGTGATGCTTTGACAGCTACAAAAAATGAGCTGGAAACATTTTTAATAGATTTCTTCTCCTTTCAACATTTGTTCCATGTGAGAATAATATATTTTAGTTTAGGTTATGTGGATCCTTTGACTTCATTCTTACTGACAAATACTTATGTGTGTGTTGTGTGTGTGTGTTAACTCAGAACGGACTTAAACTGTGCTTTTCATAAAAGCACCTAACCCCCTTGGGGCTCAGTTTGCTCATCTGCAAGTTGGGGATAAAGAAAGCATGCACGCAAAGGTCCTGCCACAGTGCCCAACGCACAGTAGATGCTCAGGACAAGCTGTCCCCTTTTCCTACCCTTCCTCTACTGAAATTCTTGCAAATTAAATAGCTGTTTGTTTCTTTTCACCTCTGTACATGACTTTGTAGTTTTAGATTATTATGCCAATGAATATATTGTGTTTGGATGACTTCAGTTGACCTAACTTTACTGTCTTTTTGACTGTTAAAACATTTATTAATGTACATAAGATAAATCTATTCTCTCCTCATTTAAATAGAGGTGAAAGGATTTTATAGACGGCTCCAAGAAGGAACATATCCACCAAAACAATAAAGCTGAGTGAAAGCAGAACGTATGTAAATATTTCATTCTTGCTAATGAAAAAACAGATATATATTTAGCTCATCATGTTCTGATGCACTATACATTTTCCTTTATCAGGACAGAATAGCATAGCCCAAAAGAGGCATATTGATGTTTTTCACAGCAGGTCTAAGCTTTAAAAAATGTTGAAGGCATAAAACTATAAATACCAAATTACTCAAAGCAGCAGCAATTAAATGTTTAATGTCAACAGAAGCACATTATCTAATGAGCTGTTTTCAGAAGTTAATAATGTGATTAATCACCGATTGACAAAAACTGGGGAAAAGAAGTTTTTTTGCACTAATAGCACTCCAGATCTAAGTGCCTGATGAGAGGCAGATCTTGGCTAGCAAGGTACCAGCTGAAGTCAGGGGGTCGTTGCCATCAGAGAGACACGTGGGCTGGCCCCCCAGGCAGGTCCTCACCATGTGGCACTTTCCAGTGGGGTCTTTATATTCCAGAGTCTGGTCCTCAGCCTTGCCAGTCCAGTTCAGCAGGATCAGGAGGACCAACTCATGCTAACCAGACTTACCAAGATATTGATATATCAACCAGATTGACAGTATATTAATTTAAAATATGGATTAGAACTGCCTGTTACTCTATCCTGGATGAAAATCTGTATGGGAAGCCAAATTGCTGGAGGGGTAGCCCCATTTTACAGATGAGGAAACTGAGACTCAGAGACCTCAAGTCGCCCAAGGCAAGGCCCTCTCTCTGATCCCAAACCCTCTTAACCATCTCATGACTTAGGACTGGGGAGACTCATCTCCGGTGGCCTTCCCCTTCCCAGTGCTCCCTGTCATGTGATTCCTGCTGGCTCTTCCCGCAGCCGTGGTGAAGAACCCACCCAACAACCTGTGGATCATCGCTGCTGTGCTGGCGCCCATCGCTGTGGTCACAGTCATCATCATCATCATCACTGCTGTGCTCTGCCGGAAAAACAAGAACGACTTCAAGCCAGACACGGTGATGAACCTGCCTCAGCGA